CACTCCTCCCCAGGCTGCTCGCACCTCCAGGCACCAACAACAGGAAGCCCGGCACGAAGAAGATGGCGCTGGAGACACCTGCGGGAGGAAGGGAAGGGCCAGGTCAGGGCTGAAGAAGGCATAGGGCTCCCCGGCCGCAGATGTTGGGGATGGGGTGCTGTTTTTCAGGAATCAGGGACACCAGAGAGGGGTGTGCGTTGCCCGTGCAGGTAGGAGAGGGAGCTCACCTGGAGAGCGGGACACCTCGAGTCCCACGCCGATCAGGATCAGCACTGCACACAGAGGAAGACACGAGGGTGAAAGGGAGCCTTCCCCACCCAACCCTGGTTCAGTATTGAGGCATGGTGCCCTCACCTGCGCTTAAGGTCCCTGGGTAAAGATCCCTCACCCCGAAGCTGATTTCAGAGCATCAGGCCATGGAAAGGGTCTATGAGAGATTGCTGCCTTAACAAGGCCCCTTTCATTCACTCCATGCTTACTGGACACCTCCTGGAGCCCAGGTGTGGTGCTGTAGGATAAACACTGAGCTGCTAGCCACACGGTCAGCAGTTCAAACCCACCAGCTGCTCCTTGCAAACCCTATACATATAGGGATGCTGAGTCAGAATTGACTGGCCGGCATTTAACCACGTGCCTGGCATGGGACTTCCCGGGGGGAAAGGTCAAAAAGGCCCCAGCTCTCAGGGTCCTTCCGGTCAGTCTTAGCTGAGACCAAGGGCGCTGAAGTTCATGCAGGTGAGCACTGGTGTGTGGGAGCAGGATACCCAGGGAAGGAACACTGGTGTGTGGGAGGGAGCTCAGGGGGACCAGGGAGGGGCTTCTTGGAAGCACTGCCATCTGAGACAGGAAGGTTGAGTTGGGGCAGGGATGGCAGCAAGTTTCGGCAGTATAATAATACTAGTGGTCGTGAGCTGGTAGTAACGTCCTTCCGCCTCAGTGGTCCTGTGCACAAGCGAAGGAAGCACTGCCCGATCCTGTGCCAACCTCACAATTGTTATGTTTGGGTCCACTGTGCCGATCCATCTGCCTCTTTTAAACCAATCTTCTTCCGACTGTACCAAGAATGATACACTAACAGTCGTACAGTAATAGTAGCGGAAGTGTGACAGCGTTGTTGTTCCAACTCATAGCAACCCTGCATAGGGTTTCCAAGGATTGGCTGGTGAGTTTGAACCATCAACCTTGTGATTCAAATCGACCTTGAGGTCCAGTGCTTACCCTACAGCAGCACACCAGAACTCCCATGGAACAACAACAGTGGTAGTAACAAGCGTTGTGCATTGTGGTGATAATGCTTGTGTGCCATGGAGCTAGTCCCAACTCCTAGTACAGCGGTTCCTTTCGGAGGGATCTTTCTCTTGTAGAACAGCTGGTTGATGCAAACTGCTACAATGTGATTATCAGCCCAACCCATTACACAAAACGCTACTCCTCAAGCAGTTGTAGTTTAATAATAACAGCAGTGGTGAAATGGTTGTGTAGTAACAGCAGTGTGGTGGCAGTTCACAGTGATCATATAGTGGTGGTTGTTTAGTGTTGAGTTGGTTTGGAATCATAGCCATCCTGTGTAGGGTTTTCAGGGAGTAGCCAGTGGATTTGAACTGCCAACCTTGAAGTTCAAACCGACCTTGCGGTCTAGTGCTGATCCTACAGTGTCGCCCCGGGTCCCCTCACATAGTGGTGGTAGAACAGGATTAGTGGTAGTGAAGGGCCACCGAGGCGGTCCCCACTCATAGTGACCCTGGAGAGGGTCTGAGGTGGTAAATCTTTAGGAGAGCACAAAGCTTTATTTTTCTCCTGTGGAGCACCTGGTAGATCCTAACTACTGGCCTTGAGGTTAGCAGTCCAGCCTGCTCTCCACTATGCTACCAGGGCTCCTTAGTGCAGTGGTAGTAAATGAGTCCTGGGGTGGCGCTGTAGGGTCAGCACTGGACTGCCAACTACAAGGTCGGCGGTTCAAACCCACCAGCTGCTCCCTGGAAACACTATCCAGGGTCTCTATGAGATTCAATTCATTGTGACCCCTTTGTACAAGAGAATGAACACGGGCTGGTGCAGCCCCATCCTCACCATCGGTGCTGTGTCTGAACCCACTGTTGTAGTCACTGTGTGACAGTGTGGTAGGATTAACAATGGTGGTAATAGTTGGGAGACTGGCCACTTACCAGGGCAGCCAGGCATGGGGCTAGTTACATGAACTGACTTATCACATGATTGAGACAGGCATTACATGACCCCCATTTCACCGAAAATGAAACTGGAGCAGAGAGGATATGTGACTTGCGCCAGCTGCAGCTGGAAGGTGGCGGCAATCTGACCCCAGGGACTTTGCCCAGGCCTTGTCCAGAGGGCACGGCACAGCAGGGCAGAGGCCTGGGGTCTGGAGAAAACTTGGAACTTCCTAGAAGCTTCCAGCATTTGTGGAGATTGGAGAGGCCAGATCTGTAAGCCCCAAGCAGGGATGCAGATTTGAGATATAACCAGGGCACTGAAAGGTGGAGAGGCCACTGCTGGGTCCCCCATGGACAGTTGTGGGGTTCATGTCCTGCTCAGAGCTGGCACTTGTTCCCTGCACCTGGCTAAGGGCTGCAGGCTCTGCGTACTCAGGGACGCCTGTTTTTACAGTGATACCTGTGAAAGCCAGAACTTTTCAGAGAAAGCTCAAATATGAGGAGACTTCAGAAAGTTCATGGGAAAATGGAATGGAAAGAGAATGGAGTTTTCTTTTTGATGGCTCCCTCCCACCTGTAATTTCCATGAAAAGAGAGCGATAGGAGAGGCTGTGTGTGCCCCGTCAAAGATGGAAAACTTGTGAGACCCAGAAACACAAGGCAGTCCTTGGAGTTGGGGTTCTTGTAGGTTTCACTGCAGTTCCTAACTAGGCCCTGCGCTCATGGACGAAATCCCTGCTCCCCACATCCTAGCCAGCGTTCTAGCAAGTCCCTATGTAAGACTGAACTTTAAGACTGCTTGCCTTGTTGGATTGTTGACAGAGAGGACACACATGAGTTCCAGCAGTGGCCAGTGTGACTTACAACCAGCACTTTGGGTGGGGTGGGGAAGTAGCTCCGTCCCCTGCACCCAGACACCCGGACTCTGGTCATAGGGCAAGGGAGGAGGCACAGATACTGCCTGACCTTCTGGTTGGGGGCTTGGGCATTCCTGGGAGAGGAGGGGAAGCCGGCTCAGTAGCCACAGCCTGCCTTCTCCCTATGGGTTCCTCTGACCCCAATCCTAGATCTTTTCTGGGGACCCTGCCTCCTTTAACATTTGGCTGTGAGATCTACCTGCTTGGAGCCTGAGTTTCCTCATCTGGGCAATAAAGGTGATGGGAAAGCTCCACTGGGTCTCAGACTCCAGAGAAGGGGCTATGACAGGTCCTCAGTAGGTCAGGCTGGCAGGGCACCTAGCATTCCTCAGCGAGCACCCTCCTCTACCCATGGGGCCTGGCTAGTGGCCCTACCTCTCACCTAAGATTCTGTATCCCCATCTGTACAGCAAGGAAAATCAGTCCACCCTGTACCTGGCCTGGAGCAGGCAGAATGCGTGGTGGCTGTTAGCCCTCTTCCCTGTAAGCCCGCCTGTCTTGTTATTGTTGTGAAGTGTCTGCGTCAGTTCTGATTCATAGTGACCAAGTATAGGGTTTCCTAGGAGTGACTGGTAAGTATGAACCGCTGACCTTATGATTCAAACCAACCTTGCAGCCCTGAGCTTATCCTATAGCCCTATACCAGGCTTCCTGTCTACAGCAGCCTAATTGTAAGGGGACCTGGAACGAACAGTTCACGAGGACAGACTCTTTCGCTGTCTACCCACTCTCTCCTCTGCTGTATCCCCAGGGCTGAAACAGGGATACGCGTGCTGGCTGAATGATTAATACCAGCAATGACCCCCTCCCCCTGACACTGGGCTTGGGGAGCCCTTCTGTACCGAGTCAGAGCCTTGTTCATACTCAGTTGTTGTTAAATGCCGTCGAGTTGGTTCCGACTCATAGTGACGCTGTATAGGGTTTCTGAGAAGCAGCTGGTGAGTTCGAACCACTGACCTTGCAATTCAAAGTGGCCTTGTGGTCCAGTGCTCACCCTCCAGCACCACCCAGGACTCTGTAACACACTCTTAGCTACTTTTTCTTTTTGAAGTCCATGGCTCCTTAGAGCAAAGCCAAGTCCCATTTCTAGTTACTTTTGATTTCCTGGCTGTGTGACCAGGAGGCGGGGCCTGACCCTCTCAAGCCTGTTTCCTCACCTATAACATGGATGGAATGATGCCAGCCAGCTGCCTCCCCTGGATGCTGGGAGGCTCAGGGCACCCAGTAGGGCGTAAAGTCTGCAGAAGCAGAGGGTAGGCCCTCATGGAGGGGCAGGGGGCCATGGGGCACTCACCCAATCCCAGCAGCAGGAGCAAGAAAGAGGCCAGCACCACCCGGCGGTTTTTCTGGATCAAAGGGTGTTGGATCCAGCTGGGGAGGCAGGAAAGCAAGAAGGCTAAGAAAGGGGTGTGGGGTGTAGGGGAACCAGGGCTGCTGTGTTGGGCTAGCAGGGGGAGCTTGGGGCTGTAGCTCAAGTGGGCTCAGCTCTCACCTGCAGCAGGCATTGTACGAGCGTTGGGTACTATTGCTGATAGTGCTGAAGGACCACTGGGAGCTGCGGATGGAGGTTCGGGCTGAATCCCTGCAAAGTGGGGGGAGGAACAAGTGAGAACAGGGAGGCAACTTGGTGAGAGGCAGGGGGGGGAGGGGTGCCTGCTTCTACAGGTCAGAAGTTAGGGCAAAGTGTCCCGATGGTCCAGGGGTTGGGGCAGGGTAGTCTTGCAGAAGGGGTCCTGAGAGGGGACAGGGTGAGGATGAATTCAGGAGCTGGGGTTTCTGCAGGGCCAAGGGTTGGGGAAGGCTAGGAGTGGGAGGCTGGGGACTCGGGTAGGGAGACCCTATAAGAAAAGAGGCCCATGAGGGAAGTGGGAGCCAGTTCAGGACAGGATATATGGAAGTTGAGAGAGGTGGAGTGCAGGGCTGGGAAGGGTCCCTGGAAGAATAGGAAGAGAGGCTTGGAGCTGGGGTACAGGGGTGGGTCCCCACCTGGCCCTGACCTGGTGTTGACTCCCCCATCGGGTTCCGGTGAGGCTTGGGTTCCATCCTCATCATTCTCCAAGTTCTGTTCCAGAACACAGGGCACAGGGGGGTTGCTGGGCTAGGCTCCTTACCCCACTCCCCTCTGGGGGAGGAGGAGGGAGAAGGCCCACACAGCTGTTTGCCTGGCGCCTGACAGCTGCTTAAGCCACCCTCCACCCTCACTCTCCCAGCAGAACGAGTCTGGTGATTCACAGAGAATCTGATGATTCACAGAAACCGAAACCCAGAGGGGAGGCGGTGCTGGGCTTTGAGGAGCAGGGGCCTGCAGAGGGCCCGGTGTGGTTTCCCAGTAGGGGTCCCAGGGCCAGCAGACCTCCCAAGTGTGGGAGTCAGTGTGAAACTCTCAGGATGGTATTTCAGGGGTCTAGAGTAGGGGTTCTGTCTTTGGCATGCCGGTTTGATTTTGGGCTCAGGGTTCCTAGGTTTGGGGCACAGAAATCTTACCCATGTCCAAAGGGTTCTAAGGTTTGGGGAGTTCTCGGAAAATGAGGATTCAGTAGTAAGAGGTCACTAAGGACTCATCCTATGGGGAGGGGGTAGGGTAGGGGATGCTCTCAAAACCAAGAAGTGGGGCGCAGGTTCTCCGTGGGTCTGACCTGTGGCAGAGGGAGCGTTACTAAATATGAACAAGGCTCTGGCTCGGGGTACAGAGGGGCTCCCCAAGCTCACTATGGGGTGGAAAAGGTGTCAGTGCCCAGGGTGGGTGAGAATGCCAGGTGGAAGCTCCATCTGGGGGTGGGAGATGAACCCCCAGGTCCGGGCTCACCACTGCTGGCTGGGGACCAAAGATTGGATCTGGGCTCTGGATCAGGGGTCACGTCCGAGGAGGGGGTCTCCAGGCAGATTCTCCCCGAAAACGGGGCTCTCCGTATCCCACCTGGGGTCCGGTCCGATGGGGCGGGGCGGGGGGGGAGGGAGGGAAGTGGGCCGAGCCGTTCACCTGGTAGCGCAGCCGGGACTGCTTGTCTTCGTCGGCCACTTCGAACCGGGCCCGGCGCTCGAAGTGCAGTGGCCCGAAACGGGCGACCCCGCTGGGCTCTGGCCCAGGACCCGCGTCCTCCAAGGACAGCTCAAAGGCGTCATCGATGCTGAATTGGGGCCGGGCGGCGCTCATGGCCCCGGCCCGCTCAGGCGCCTTGCGCCGCCACCAAACACGCCGCCATCCACGCCGCCTACCTAGCGTCGTCGAGGCCCCGCCCCCGCACAATGCCCCGCCCCACACAGGACACCGCCCCCGCCCCCTCTCGCGTCTCTGGAACGTCCCGCGCCCCAGCAGAGGCGTCGGCTCCAGCAGGCTAGAGTTGCCGATCGCCGAGCGGGCTGGTGGGCGGGGTCTTTTCTTGAACAGAGAGCGGCACCGCCCAGCGGCCGCCTCGGCGAGTGACAGTGGGTGCTGCGCTCTGGTGTTCCTCTTCGGGCTGTAAAATGGGTGCGGAAGGGTTTCCAGCCCCTGCCTCCCAGGCAGATATGGAACCTTCGAGGATTCGGGAGTCTCCCAGCAACTATCTGTTTTTCATCCGTCCTCAGCGCGGCCTCCCTAGAGAGGATTCTAGCTATCTTGCAGATGCGGAAACAGCATCATAAAGTTTGTGTAATCGCTACTCTCTTCCAATCTGGGCAGCCAAGTGTTCTTTTAAAACAAACCTGAACTTTTTCTTTGTGTGGTTCTCTTCAATACAACTTTTAATTTTTTAAGTAAGCGCTTAGGTTATTCATCTGCCTAAAACTCACACCCCAGTTAGCAGTCCTGGTGTGACTCTGTAGAATAAGCACTGGGCTGCTAACCGCAAGGTCAGAGGTTCAAGCCCACCAACTGCTTCTTAGAAGCGCTATACAGGGTCGTTATGAATAAAAGTTAGGAAACTAAAGGTAGGGACACACAGCATTTCTCAAGCTGAAAGAAGTGAAGGAAAAAATGCCAGCCTCCACGTGCAATATTGAAGGATTCTATGGGCGGCTTCTTGGTGTGGTGCGACAAGATAATGCACTGGTTCCCAACGTCGGTTTCAATCGTAAGGTGGGCGGTTCAAGCTCACCAGCCGCTCCTTGGAAATCCTCTGCAGGGTCGCTATGGGTCGGAACCAACTCGACAGCACTTAACAACAATGAGCACAATATGGACTTCTGGTGGGGCACTGTGGGATCTGCACTGAACTATGAACCACGAGGTCGGCAGTTCAAAACCCACGAGCTGCTCTTCGAAAACCCTATACAAGGTCAGTGTGAGTCTGAACCGATTGGACAGCACTTAATAACAACAACAATGAGCAAAACATTGAACGATGCAGAAAGCATCAAAAGAAGATGGAAGCACCCCCTCCACACACAGAGTGGACAGAGATGGGCAACTTGGCCATTGGATAC